CCTTCCCCTTCCCCTTCCCCTCCCTCTTCCCCTCCGCTCGGTCCTGTCCTGTCCTGTCGTTGTTGTGGTCCACAAACCGACGGGGGACACTGACCAAGACAAGATCCGCAGGATCATCTTGGGGGCCTTGAAGCAAGATGGAGGGGTCTCCGTGTGAGGAACACGAGTGGAGGAAGACGAAGAGGAGTGAGAATGCGCAGGTCAGTAAGGTCAAGATGTATTCCCTTCTGGTCACCATACTCTTGCTGTTTGGGGTGCTCATAGGGAACCAGGTGAGCGACTGGTCCGCGTTTACCAAAACCGTGCAGGCCGAGAAGGAGGTGGTGAAGGTGGGAGACATGGTGGAGAAGGAGGTGAAGCGGGACTTGGTGAACGCGGAAGCGGCGCTGGTGGAGTTCGAAGTGGAGGAGGAGATACGGAAGGAGGAGGTGGAGGAGGCCTTGGCAGCGGCGACGAAGAAGAAGAAGAAGAAGGACAAGGAGAAGAAGAGCAAGGGGGACAGCGCCAGTAGTGCCAGTGGGGGCAAGGAGGCCAAGGAGCTGAGCGCGGAGGCAGCGAAGCTGGCGGAGGAGATCAAGGCGGGGAAGCAGCGCATGGCGGAGAACCAGCGGAGGACGGGCGAGGAGAGAAGACAGTACGAACTCGATAGGCGAGAGGTGGAGAAGCTCGAGAGAGAGTTCAGGGCGGCCACCGGTTCGACTGACAAGTACGACAGGGAGAGGGAGAAGAAGCGGAAAAAGAAGTACCAGGCCATCAAGAAGCACATGGAGGAGTCCAAGGCCGGCCGGAAGATCGTCCTGGACCCAGAGGTGCAAAAAGTAGTGGACGACTTTGACGGTTCCCTCAAGCCTCCAGAGTACTGCTACAAGTCTCCAAAGGGCAACGCCGCCCGGCCAAAGGAAGACGTCGCGTCCGGGGCGCCCGCGGGCAGGAGGACCCTCCTGAGGAGGAGGAGGAGGAAAAGGCAGAAGAATAGAGCTTCCACGGGGGGCGAGAGGGTTCCGCCAGATTGGGCGGTCCTGCCCCTGAACGTCTCCAGGGAGATCCTCCACGTGTCCGCTGAGAAGTACCCGTGCCTCATCCTGCACCAGGACTGCTTTGACGAGACGTACAACTCGGGGGCGAAGAAGCTCAGGCAGTGGTACGAGAAGGCTTACTTCGTCAAGTCCAAGATGAAGTGGGAGGAGAAGCTGAGCAAGCTGGAGGACTTCAAGAAGCTGAGGCTGGGAACCTGCGCGGTTGTCGGAAACGCGGACAACGTGATCAAGGGGAAGTTCGGCGAGGAGATTGACGAGCACGACTTCGTGATACGCTACAACGTAATCACCAAGCCCTTCCAGGAGGCCGTGGGCAGCAGGTCGGACGGCCTGTTCGACAAGATGAACTACTTGGGGACCGAGTTCGCGCCGGACACGACGCCGACCACCTACAACCTTTTCCCCAAGTACATCCCAAACGAGCTGAACCCGGCCAAGCTCTCGGGGGGAAAGAAGCCCTTGCTGTACGGCGCGCCCTTCCTCTCGCAGTGGAGGAGGGACGCCAACCAAATGATCGAGCTGTACAAGGAGGCGAAGAACATCCACGTGGTGATCAGGGCGTACGGGAAGGAAAAGCAGCAGCACGCGTCGGGGGGGGTGACCAGGGTGAGGGCCATCATCGAGCTGCTGAGGCTCGGGGTCTGCGACAGGGTCGACATGTACGGCTTCTCCTCGGGGGGCGGCAAGTACTTTATCCCGAGAATGAAAGTGAGCAGCGCCCACCCGATCCGGGCGGAAAATTTTGTGTACAGGCTTTGGATGGCCACGGGGATTCACGGCCATTTTTGTATGTACGGGTAAGTGCCTTTTGGGATTGCGTCAGCGCAGCGTGCTGGGGACCGCAAAAAGATCGCAATTCAGCTCCACGGGCCTCTTGTTTTTTTATGTGCGTGCGTGCGTGCGTGCGTGGGTGTGTGCGAACCCGATCTGATCTGACTCCTCTCTTTCCCTTGTGTCTGTGTCTGCTCTTGTTTGCGTAAAAGTGAATAATAAACATGTGGTCCAAGGGTTTTCATCCCTCTCACTTGCTCTTGTTCGCTCCTCCCTTTGGGAACTAAACTCCGGTGTTTGTCCTCCCCCTCCCTCCCCCTCTCCCCTCCCCATCCTGAGCTTCCAGGTCAGATTACTTCCCATGATTTTGGTTTTTGTCCGTCCCAGGCAGTCGACTCGACTCGACGACGTCAGAGCGCCAAAAAAGGCAAAAGCGCGAGAAACGCCACGAAGGAGCAAAGGAGAGAGACAGAGAGACAGAGAGACAGAGAGACAGAGAGAGATGGCGACGGAAGATCACGAAGAGTTCCCAAAGGAGTTTGGGGAGTTGGTGCCTTGGGGGGATCCAGCGTGGTACAGGGGGTGAGTGGGCCTGCTTTCCTTCCTTCCCTCCTTCGTGCACTTTTTCGTCGTGCGTGCCACGCTGTTTCGTCGTGGCAACGTTGGCGCACGGCTCCGGACTCCTCGTTTCTGACTTTTGGTTTCCCTTGGCCCGCCCGCTTTTCTTTTTTCTTGTGCTCCACCCACCCGCTCCCTGACTCAGGTACAACAGCCCGTACTACAGGAAGACGCACCACGACTGGCGCATGAAGGTGAGGGCCTTCGTGGAGTCCGAGATCGAGGGAAACGTGAGGAAGTGGGACGAGGAGAAGAAGGTGCCGAAGGAGATCTACAAGAAGATGTACAGGGCGGGCCTGCTCCCCGCGATCGTGGGCTCCCCGTGGCCGACCGACTTCGTGGGCGAGGGCGGCCCCCAGGACTTTGACGCCTTCCACTCCCTCATCTTCATCGAGGAGCTCGGGAGGTGCGGAAGCGGCGGCGTGCTGTGGGCGCTCATGGGCGGCATGGGCATCGGCCTTCCCCCGGTCCTCCACTTCGGATCCGAGTACCTGCAGCAGAAGGTGGCGAGGGACTGCCTGACGGGCGAGAAGTTCATCTGCTTGGCCATCTCCGAGCCCTACGCCGGGAGCGACGTGGCGAACATCAGGACCACGGCGACCAAGGACCCCAGCGGGGACTTTTACATCGTGAACGGCGAGAAGAAGTGGATCACCAACGGGGTGTTCGCGGACTACTTCACCGTGGCCGCGAGGACGGGCGGCCCCGGCATCGGTGGCATCTCCCTCATCCTCCTGGAGAAGACCATGCCCGGCATCGAGTGCGTGCAGATGGACTGCATGGGCGTGTGGCCCAGCGGGACGACGTACATCACCTTCGACAACGTCAAGGTTCCGAAGGAGAACATCATCGGCATGGAGAACGCGGGGTTCATGTACATCATGTACAACTTCAACTACGAGAGGTGGGGCATCATCGCCCAGGCCACCAAGCTGGCGAGGGTCTGCCTCGAGGAGGCCTTCAAGTACGCGAACAAGAGGAGGACCTTTGGCAAGAAGCTCGTTGAGCACGGGATGATCAAGTGGAAGCTCGCCGAGATGGCCAGGCAGGTGGAGAGCACCCACGCCCACCTCGAGTTCATCACGCACCAGCTCAACACCATCCCGAGGGAGGAGCACTTCACCCACCTCGACCTCATCATGGACATCTCCCTCCTCAAGGTCCAGGCCACCAAGACGTTTGAGTTCTGCGCCAGGGAGGCCGCCCAGATCTTCGGCGGATCGAGCTACGTCAGGGGAGGCCAGGGCGAAAAGGTGGAGAGGCTCTACAGAGAGGTGAGAGCCTTTGCGATCCCGGGAGGATCCGAGGAGATCATGCTCGACTTGGCCGTCAAGATGGCCCAGAAGAAGTACGGCCAGGTCCTGAAGAGCAGGCTGTGAGCAGCAGGCTGCAAAAGCGGCGGAAGACAAAAGCTAATAGTAATAAATATACTTTTTTCTTTTTTGGAGATCCCCGAAAGAGTCTTCAAGCAGCAGCGGGTTTGGAGACGAGGCCCCTCTTTCCCCTCCCCGGTCGCTTCGGCCTCGAGAACCCGGAGGCCTTCTTGGCCTCGGCGGACCCACCGTCGTCGGCGGACCCGAGGGCCTCGGAGATCTCCTCGGCGCTGTCCACCGCCCTGGACTCGAAGTCCAGCGCGGCGCTCCTCAGGGCGTCCTGCAGCGACTGGGTCGCGATGGAGAACACCATCCTCTCCCTGATTGTCGCCTCGCCCGTGCAGAGGAGGAAGAGCAGCAGGGGTGGGGAGGCCGCCGCGTGACGGCGCCTGGCGATCAGGAAGCAGGTCCTCGTGCCGGCGGACTCCGGCAGGTCGGACCCGTCCGGCTTCAGGGTCTCCGATTCGGGGCTCACCACCACCCGCAGCACGTCGCCCTCGCCGAGGTCCTTGGCCCCGGACGCGACGGCGGGGTCCACCGCGAGGCAGGTCGTGGTCTTGGTCTCGGTCGACTGCTGGAGTGCGCGCCTGTCCTCGAAGTAGGACGCGTTCGACTTGGAGTGCACGCTGCAGTTCTTGCGTTGCAGCATCGCCTCCTCCTCGGTCAGCGGGGGGGCCGAGGAGGCCTCCTCCTCGAGGGGGTCCTCGGTGCCCTGGACCAGCTCCGCCTCGAGCTCCTCGAGGGAGTCCGTGCGGACGTCCCTCGCGATGTTGTCCAGGCCCACCGTCAGCTTGAGCTTCCCCTGGGTCGAGGCGTAGATCATCTTCTTGCGCACCGCGCACGCCTCGGGAATGTGGGTCACGAGCAGGTACAAATCATCCGAGGAGGCGTACTTGGCGAGCACGTACGCGGCCTGGTCGTGTTCCAGCTCGGAGCACACCCGCTTGGCCAAGGCCGACGACGACGCGGAGGAGGAGTCCAGCTTGTCGAGTTGAACCACCTTCCGCGCGACGAGTTCGGTCTCCTCGTCGTTCACCGCGACCACGATCGCCACCATGATCTCCTCGGAGGCCAAGGCCGAGGCCAGGGCCCCCACGAGCCCCTCCGAGGGCCCTATCCCGCTCGCGCTCGCCACCATGGTCTGTTTCTGTAGGGTCGTCGATCGAAGCGGAGTCCAGGAGGAGTAAAAAAAAAAAAAAAGTGTTCACGCCCGGAATCGAACCGGGGACCTTTCGCGAGCTTCTCAGCATTGTGAGGCGAACGTGATAACCGACTACACCACGCGAACTCTACTCTCCTCCCAGGAGACAATTTTGCGCATAAATATAGGTAGATCGCATCTCTGGATCTGGATCTCCACGATTGTCCACGTTGTTTTTTGGATGGAAACGAGCGGCCCAGAACAGCACCCAACCTCGCTCGCCAGAGGAAGAAGAAGAAGAAAGAAGAGAACGACGACGGGCGACGACGGCGACGGACGACCTCCTCCTCCTGATTGAGTTGGACATCGGCATCGGCATCGCGACATGAAGGCCACCACCGCCTTGTTGAGAACCACGACGACGACGAGACCTTTCCAGGGCCCTGGGGCCGTCCGGAAGAGCCCTGCCTCCTCCCCTCGCTCGAACGCCTCCACCTTGTTCGGCAGCAACCCAGGTGCTTCTGCTTCGTCGTTGTCCGCCAAGCAGCAGCACGAGCAGAAGCTGCTGGCGACGACGAGGGCGAGCGCCATGAGCACCACCGCGCTGTCCCAGGCGCCGACCTCGAAGCTGTCCCCCTCCTCCTCCCTGGACCTGCTGAGCAGCGCCAAGGCCTTCATCTTCGACTGCGACGGGGTGATCTGGCGCGGGGACAAGCTCATCGAGGGCATTCCGGAGACGATCGAGGGCCTCAGGGAGGCGGGCAAGAAGCTCATCTTCGTCACGAACAACTCCACCAAGTCCCGCGAGGGGTACCTGAAGAAGTTCCTCTCCCTCGGCCTGGAGATCTCCGCGGACGAGATCTACAGCAGCTCGTACGCCGCGGCGGCGTACCTGAAGAGCAAGAACTTCCCCACGGACGGCTCCAAGAAGGTCTACGTGGTGGGCGAGGTCGGGATCATGGAGGAGCTCACCCTGGCGGGCATCCCGCACTTTGGGGGGCCCGAGGACGCCGAGGCGAAGATCACCCTGGGCAAGGGCGTGAAGATGCCCCACGACGAGAACGTCTCCGCGGTCATCGTGGGGTTCGACCGCGAGATCAACTACTACAAGATCCAGTACGCGACCCTCTGCATCAGGGAGAACGAGTCGTGCGAGTTCATCGCCACCAACAGGGACGCCGTGACGCACCTGACGGACGCCCAGGAGTGGGCCGGGAACGGGTCCATGGTGGGGGCCATCGCGGGGAGCGCGGCCAGGGAGCCCACGACCGTGGGAAAGCCCTCCACCTTCATGCTGGACGACATCGCGGAGCAGTTCAAGATCGACAAGAGCGAGATTTGCATGGTGGGGGACAGGCTGGACACCGACATCCAGTTCGGCAAGAACGGGGGGCTGAAGACCATGCTCGTCCTCAGCGGCGTCACGAGGGAGGAGACCCTGCTCAGCGAGGAGAACACGATCCACCCGGACCTCTACACCTCCAAGCTCGCGGACTTGCTTCCCGCTCTCACGGAGATGAACCAGCAGTAGTAGTAGTAGTAGTAGTATGTTTTGATGGTAGCGAGAGCTCGACGAGGGGAGTTTGGAGGACAAAACCAAAATACCAAAACTCGTCGTCATCGTCGTCCTCGGCGTGTGCGAATTGAAACAAACGTGTATTTTTCATTTTATTTCGGCTAATTAAGTCTCTTCCTCTGCGCCCCTGCACACCTCCACCTCGCCCCTCCCTCTCTCGCCTCTTCACTACTTGCAGCACCTCGACTGCTGCTTGGACTTGGTGTACTCGGACAGAAGGACCGGCACGACCCACCTCGCGCTGTAGGGCATGAGGCAAACCATCGTGAACATCGGGGCTATCCTCCCCAGGGCCCTCTTGCCCGGGGCGCCCTCCGCGCTCACCCCCTCCTCCTCGCTCTCCTCCTCCGGCGGCATGGGGATCCCGGCCTTGCTGGACCTCGCCCTCCTGATGTAGGACCTCATCGCCTCCTCCGTCTTCGCCAGGGTCTTGCCCATCCGGCACTTGACGATCTGGTTCACGAGCTGAGAGGGGAGCTTGGTGTCCTCAAAGTACATGAAGGTGACCTTGACGCTCGAGCCCCCCTCGCCGTCGGCGGCCGGCAGCGTCCTGGCCGAGCACAGGGACAGGTAGTCGTCCACCGTCACGTTCCCGATGCCCCTGTCCGCCTCCCCGGCGGCCTCGGCCGGGGGCCTGGTGGAGATGATGATCTCCCCGTCCCCCGTCTCGGAGTTGGCCCACAGGCTCCTCTGCAAAAAGTACTGCCTCGCCCGGAACGGAGGGGGAATCTTCATCCTGCAGTACAGGTCCCTGATTCGGGTCTCGTCCCTGCCCTCCGCGAGGCCTTCCCGCACGCAAGCGCCCCTCTCCGCGTCCCACACCGTCGAGTTCTCGTCCCACTTCCTCCGGAACGCGTCGTCCGTCATGAACCGGATGAACTCCCCCGCCGTGGCGTCCCTGAAGACGGTCTCCGTCCTGTACACGTTGAAGCCGCGCCTCAGCGGCATACTCCACGCCGAGTACTCCATCGTCTCCGTCTCCTTGGTCAGTATCTTGCTCCAGGTCGGAGGGCTCGCCGCCGCCGTCGTCGTCGCCGTCGTCGTCGTCGGGTCCCCCGCCGACCGGAAGAGGCTCGAGACGGCCTCGAAGTCGGGCAGGCCGCCGTCCCCCTGGACGTCGCTGAGGCACGACACGAACGAGGAGTGGAGGCCCTTGTGGCGAACCACGGCCTCCCTCTCCCTCGCCTCGTCCCCCCACCTCGCCTCGCGGTCGTCGTCCAGCAACAACGCCTGGGCCTCCCCCCCCGCCTCCTCCTGCTGCTGCTGCTCGCTGCAATAGTACTGAGACAGGCTGTTCAGCTTCTCCAGGACGACTTGCTGCGACAGGTACTGGCTCTGCAGGTACTGCAGCGACTCCGCGTACTGCTGGTTGATGTAGCTGTTCGTGTACCGCATCTGGTCCATGACGAACTCGGCGGTGTCCTTGAGGTTGTCCAGCGAGGCGGCGAGGTTCCCCCCGGCCTCGGTGAGGTACGCGTACGCGTCCCCGGGGGGGGAGGGCGCCTCGAGCTCGAACGAACCCCGCCTCTTCCCCCCCGCGCCCCCGGCCTCCCCCCGTGCAGGCAGGCCGTGGAACCCCGACCGGAAGGCCACGAACACCGCGAAGAGGGCCGCCGCGGCCGACTCGGTCGGGCTCGCCGCCAGCTGCTCCACCATGAACCAGATGACCTGGCCGTAGTACATCCCCGCCACCGCCGTCAGCACCACCGCGTACGGCCACACCACAACTATCCCTTCCTTGACCCCTTCGGACATGGTCGTGACCACGGAAACTCCGCTCTGGCTCCTCGCCACCCCTGGGCCCCTCGTCGTCGTCACCCTCATCTTCTTCGTGGGCAAGGCAGCAACAAGGCAGCAACAAGGCAAGGCAAGGCAAGGTTCCCTGTCCTGTCCCGCCCCCCCTCCTCTCCCTCTCCCGCTCCTTGCGTCGTCGGTCCCTCGGCCCTGCGCAAGGGCGCCTTTGGCTTATCGTGATCTCCTCCCGTCTTATCGCAATCGGAAACACGGAGATTCTATTGGTTTCGGATTTTTCACAGAATCTGTGGCTGTGGGCATTCCAATCCCACGGGAGGGGAGGAGCAAGAGATCGGGAACGACCGACGCTTTTCCAAGGGTTTCCTTTCTTGTCTCGAGCAATCCTCCCAAGCAATCCTCCACCAAGATGATCTTTTTCTTGTGTTTGTTTGTTTTGTTACAAAGGTGAAGGTATTAGTTCAAGCGTTAGCATTTTCCCGGAGGCAAGCAAAAGACTTTTTTTGTGGGGGGGACGGAGGACGCAGCAACGCACCCACCCACCCACAACACGAAGACATGCTCTCTTTCTCTCTTTCTCTCGCTCTCGCTCTCTTTTTCTCACGCGTAGTAGTTGAGGCTCGCCTTCTTCTTTGCCCTGACCTGGATCACCCCCTCGTTGAAGTCCTCGTGGTTGACCTCGGTGGCGTCCCTCCTGAGGGCCAGCATGCCGGCCTCCACGCAGACGGCCTTGAGCTGGGCGCCGTTGAAGTCCTCGGTGCTCCTCCCGAGCTCGTCGAAGTTGACGTCCGGGTGGACGTTCATCTTCCTCGAGTGGATCTGCAGGATCCTGGCCCTCGCCTCCTGGTTGGGGTGGGGGAACTCGATCTTCCTGTCGAGCCTCCCGCTCCTCATCAGGGCCGGGTCCAGGATGTCCGCCCTGTTCGTGGCGGCGATGACCTTGATCTCGTCGTGGGAGCTGAACCCGTCCAGCTGGTTCAGGAGCTCCAGCATGGTCCTCTGCACCTCCCTGTCCCCGCTGAGCTCGCTGTCGAACCTCTTGGTCCCGATCGCGTCGATCTCATCAATAAATATGATACAAGGGGACTTCTCCTTGGCCAGGGCAAAGGCGTCCCTCACCAGCTTGGCGCCGTCTCCGATGAACATCTGCACCAGCTGGGGCCCGGCGAGCTTGAGGAAGGTGGCGTTGGTCTGCGCGGCGCACGCCCTCGCGATCAGGGTCTTCCCCGTCCCGGGGGGTCCGTACAAGAGCACGCCCTTGGGCGGCTTGATCCCCAGGTTCTCGAAGTGCTTCTTGTGCGTCATGGGCAGGACGATCGCCTCCACCAGCTCGCGGATCTGCTTGTCCAGGCCTCCGATGTCCGAGTAGTCCTCCGTGGGCTTCTCGTCCACCTCCATCACCTGCGAAGAAGGAAAAGAGAAAGAGAGAGAGAGAAGTCAGCGAGGCAGGCTCGAAGGCGCGACACGGGCACGAGCAAGCACGCACGAGGCTTCGTTGCAGCTTCGTCTTCCTTCCTTCCTCCTCCTCCAGAGAGGGGAGAGGACGGGACCAAAAAAAGAAAGAAAGAAAGAAAAAACACGACACGACACGACACGACACGCACCTTGACCCTCGCGTCGTACTCCGGCGGGAGGGTGTCGAGGACGAGGTAGCTGTCCTTGTTGACCCCGATGAGATCGCCTGGTTTCAGAGTCTCCGGGTCGACCAGACCGACGACTGGGAGGAAGATCGTTTGCCTGGTCGACGTCTTGAGCACGACGCTCTTCCCCGTCCTCTTCGCGTCCAGGTCGGCGCTGGCCCCGTCCTCCTCCTCGTCCT